TAAGAAACTTACAAAAACAAATTCTTAATTTAAACCGAGTCCCAGCCCAAAGCAGGAGGGTCTTCAAGGAACAGTTCTTTTTCTGATACCATCGGGCTGTAGACTACGGCAGCCAGGAATGCTGTGTACTTTGTTTTGGAACTAGACAGCCAGGTAGCCAGATATCAGAAGGGCTGGGTACAATGTGTAGCCTTAAAATGTCAGCGTGCTCTGTGGGGTCGCTTGCAGTGTGAGCCCTACCTAGTGATAGAAATGTACCATACACCGAAGTCTTTGTTTCTTTACTTAACCGGCAACACGTGCTGTTTTGAACCTGGGCCTGCTAAAGTCTAACTGCTTGCCTGAGAAAACAAAAGAAAGGCAGGGACAAGTGCCTTTGTACAGGAAGTAATGTCAGCCAAGGGAGGCAGAAGGCAGGGAGCCAGGTAGGAGTTCTCGGAACTGGGGAGGCAAGTGCCTCCTTTGGAGACTGAATTCTCTGCAGGGGTGTCCCAGAAGCTGCATTTGTCCTAGAGACAGTCCTCCCCAACTGGGGAGCTGGCCACCCTGGACAAAGGCCAGGAACTCGGAATACATGGCCATTGAGACAGGTAGCTTGTCCTCAGATGCCTGTGGGGTAGTCCTGCACAGAGCATAAGAAGTCTGCAGGAAAGACAAGGAGGCATGTGCAGGAGGGCCTGCGGGGCAGCCCTGCTCCAGTCCTGCGTGTGTGCACCTCACACAGCCTTGGTGGCCCCAGGCCCCACTTGAGAATAGAAAGGAGAATGTTTCAGACAGGGTTCACTAGAGGAACAGATTTAATATAAAAATATATATATGCTTATACAAAGGACGCATGAGGTAGGCTTACACGACCGGAAGTAGAAGAGTCCCAGTGGCCATGTGCCAGGTCAGAGGGGGCAAATGCAGACTGGCCATCTGTGTGCTGGACAGCAGGGGCCTCCTGTGGAAGGTCAAAGGCCTGGAGTCTGAACCATGCTGAAAGCGAAGGGTCTGAGTTGGAGCCTGAAGAATCTGCACTGGAAGCCTGAAGGAACTGGAGCCAAATGTCCACAAGCAATAACAAAGCTCAGAGTTCCTCCACAGCAAAGGGGTAGACTTCAGAAACGGGGCAGGGTGAGCTCCTATTGTCAGCAGACGTTCTGATACACTGCTGAAGCCATCTGTAGGGGCAGCATAGCTCTGTCTGCCAAAGTGGTAAACATGCAGCATTTGAACTAGCAATTCAGCCTTTGCAAGCCACCCAGAAGAAACATCCACACATGTTTAATCAGGTGAAGTACCAGAATTTCTATTGCAGCACTGTAGGTTACGGTCACAAATGAAAACTACCTCCATGCCAGTCAATGTGAGGTTGATTTTAAAGGACAGGGCATCCATCTGGAAGGATCTCACTGTCACTCCTCCTCACCCCCTGTGGGATCCCAGCACAGCAGAGGCTTAGGGCTTGGTCCTGAATATCATTGCTCTGCACCGTCCTGTCCAAGAGCCACCAGCCATGCTGAGTGCTAGAAGAACCACAGCCCTGATTAAGAAGTTCTGTACATGTGAAACACACCCCAAACCAGAGTCCCTCCCCGGCACAACACATTGGGTCTAGACTATGGAATGAACCCCGAGCCAGAACCTGGGAAGGCTCCACCAGCCTGGCCTCCATCTGCCGGCCGACCTCTGTGCATCCCGGGCTTCCTGGTGGGCCAGGAAGGGCACACGTTCCTGGAGTTCTCTGTCTTAGAATCATCAGCCTCAGCTGGGCTGCTGTGGTTCAGGCTTCAGGGTACACAGGAGAGAAGGCAGCTGAGGGTCCCAGCACATGCAGGGGGCCCCTCTCCTTTCTTCTGGTCCCCAGACACCTCTGTTCCTCAGACATGAACATGGGAGACTCTGAGACACTGGCCTCAGAACTGAGCAGGTGGCACTGCCTTACTAGCTTGAAGGTTGCTGTGGTGACAAGGTGTCGGAGCAGTCACCGTAGTGATGGGGATGGAGGCCTTTTGCCATCAGTCCCACTTTTCTGCATGGCAGCTCTAATGACAGAATGGTCACCATGGCAACCATGGGCCCTCCCAGGAGCAGAGGCCCTGGCAGGAGAGTCCTCTACTCCATACCTGACTGGAGCCGGAAGTAGTGAGTGATTCGGGGCCCAGAGAAGCAAGCTGGGGCACGAGGGACTTAGTCACCTGCAGCCTCGGTACTTAGAGCTCTCTGCAAGCTACTGGCGGGGAGACACCTTTCTGTTATTTCTGTTGAGAGGCCATCAACAGTTCCTCTTGGCTCATCACGGCTCCAGGAAAGCCGGCCCACGTGAGGACACTGCCTGGGGCCTCCATGGCCCTTGCTGGAGAACATCCGGCCTGAGGGGGCCACCGATGGGAAGGGATCTGGAAGAGACAATGAAAAGGAGGAAACTGTAATTGAACCTCAAATCCCAAACCAGTCTGAGGCGGACCATCTTCTCCAGGAGGTCCTGGGCTGGCGGTGACTGCTGGGGAGAAGCCGGGATATCTCTGTTTTGGAAGCCTGGTGGGGGACACCACGGGGTCCCAGCTCCCCGGGTTGGCTGCTGTGCAGATGCTGGACGACAGAGCCAGGATGGAGGCTGCCAAGAAAGACAAGGTAGCTCTGCTCGCGCAAAGCGTTCTGGAAGCATCCGTGCGCCTGTCCTAGACGCTCAGTGGTTTACACAGGGTCTGGGGCACCATGTGGGGCTGGAAGACCTCTACTTCTCAGACTGACTCTGTACCTGGGAGTCAGGGTGCCCAGAGGCCCTGGAAGCAGCCTCCACTGAGGAGAGGCTCTGAGGGGTCCAGAGGTCCAACTAAGGGGGCCAGGGGGCTGGAGTTTTAGTGGGCAGAATCCACTGCTGGATTTTGAGGCAGCAGCAACCGACACAGGTCCCACCCATGTGCCTAGAGGAAGGCTTCCTCTTCCATGCAGGAAGCATTTCCCAGGAGCCTGGGAGCGGGGAGCCCTGGGAGGAGGATGGAGCAGCCACTTTTTCCAGCAACAAAGAGTGATCCTCTGTACTGCCCTGGGCTGGGATGTGAGTGAAAAGAGAGCTGGGGACGGGGCATTGAGATGCTGAGGAGAACACACCCACACCTCCCGGTCAGAGGCAGGGTCCAGCCCTGGGCTCGGTCCCCTGGGTCCTCTCCTCCTCTGTGTGAAACGACCAGGTCAGCACAAATGCCCGCTGGTGTGCTTCTGCGGAGCTAATCGTGGCAGAAGAAAGAAAAACAACCAGTCTTCCCAGGGGGCCCACACAGTGCGGGCAGGGATAGCAGGGGCCCCGGATCAAGCCACCACACCCGTCTGCCACAGAAGCTATGTTTTGGGTCAGAGATCCTGCTCAAAGAAGTCCCTTCAGGCCACCCAGGGAAGGACGGTGGTGTCTCTGATTGGCACAAGCAGGGTCCTGGCTAGAGATGGTGAGGCAAATGTATGGGCTGCAGGTCTAGTGCTCCCCCACCCCCAAATCGTGTGTGCGTGCGTGTGCGTGCGTGCGTGTGTGTGTGTGTGTGTGTGTGTGTGTGTCTGTGTACTCCTGGGCTTCAGGGTATACAGTGAATTCCTTCAAAAATGACCCAGCAGAGCTGTCCTGAGTTCTGTCTCCCAGAGCTTGTAGGGCGAGCCGCCTCACAGGCTGGGTCCCCACACTCAGGCTCTGGAGCTGCATACACCCTTCCCATTTCTGGGAGAGGTGCTGGTCCTGGCCAGGCCAGCTGTAATAGGGGGCCTGGGGCTCAGGCACGAAACTGAGGGAGCACCAACAACGGCAATATGAAGACAAGCACTACTTTCACATGGCAATATTTAGAAGTTTAATTTTTCATAGTACATGGTTACAAAACATAGCAATTACACTCATGACGAGCAGTCAGTACATGCCTGCAACCTATCTTGATTCTTCCCCTCCCCCTTCCCCGTTTCCTTCCCCTCTGTTTCTATCTCTCTTGGTCCCTTTCCATCTGAAAAACCTCTCTCGATCTGTTTTCTGTTGTCTATGTTTTATTTTGCTCTTTATTTCTACTTTGGATTTTCCATGTAAGAGATACCATGTGATATTTGAACTTGTGTGCATCCTTTACTTCACTTAGTGTTCTGGTCTCGTGGGGCATCCATCTTTCTCCAAATAATTCACTTTACCCTTGCGTGTAGCAGATTAGTGTTCCCTTGTGTCTATATACCACCCTTTCTATATCTATTCATCTGATGGTGGACATGTAAGCCACTTTCAAAAATTAGCTGTTAGGAATTGTGCTGCTGTAAGCACGGGAATGCATGGAGCGCTGTAATACGACGCTTGACTCTTTTGGGAAGATACCTAGGAGAGGAACAGCTGAGTCAAATGGAGCTTCTATTTTTGGTTTCTCGGGGAACCAACATATTGATCTCCACTGTAGTTATAGGACTTTGCATTCCTCCCAACAATGCAGAAAGGCTCCTCCCCACTCCCACAGCCTCACCTCTCTTGGTTACTACTCGGTGTCTTCTTGGCATCCATTCTTTCTGGAGTAAGGGGGAATCGACGTGTTGCTTTACTTTGCATTTCTCTCATTCCAAAAGATGTTGAGCATTTATTTCTTCATGTGTCTATGGACATTTCATGCTGAGAAATGTCTGTTCATTTCAGTTGTCCACTTTTTGACTGGGTTTCTTAAAGCTATTTTTTAATCTTCTTTGTCTGAGGAGCAGTTGGCAAAAACGTTTCCCGTTGTGTAGGTTGCCTCTTCAGTGTGTTTATTGTGTTATTTGCTGTACAGAAGTTTTTTAATCTGATGCAATCCTGAAGACCACAAGTTTAAGCTATTTATTAGATTAATTCCTTAACCCATCTTCCAGCGGGTTAAGACTTTCTCTTTTTAATATTTAGTACTTTTTAGTACTTGCCCAGGAATATGGGTCTAGATTAAATTCGCTACATGTGGAAAAGCGGCTTCTCCAGTACCATCTGTTAAAGAGGCTGTCTTTGCTCCAGCATAAGTTGTTGTTTTTGTTCACGTCAGACGGGTAATGTGCTCACAAGTATCAAGGTTTGAGGGAGGCACATCGCGTGTATACGACACGAACACCCACTCGTCACCCTCGCGAACTGAAGGCGCTCCAGTGTAAGTTTTGGCTCTTTTGTCAAAGATCAGAAGGCCAGATGTGCCTCGGACTGTTCCCGTGTCCTCTGTTTTTTCCCATTCATCTGCTTTGCGCCAGTATCACGCCGTTCACTTTAGCTTTGTAATGTAACTTGAAATCTGGGACTCTGATGCCTGCTGCTTTGCTCTTGTTGCCCAGAATTGTTTTTGCTGTTCTGACACCTGCCTAGTTCCTTATGAACTGTAGGATCCTTTTCTCTGCTTCTGTGAGAAATGCTGTTAAATCTTGATTGAGATTGTATAGAGATATAGATATAGAGGGCAGAGATATATGGTTTGGCCAGTTTGAAAACATTGCTTCTGTCTATCTAGAAAGAGGAAATATTATTGCATTTTTTTCTTTTTCTTTTTCTTTTCTTTTTTTTTTTTTTTTATATCTCTGGTACAGGGTCTCACTACACAGCTCAAACTTGTAGTGATCCTCCTGCTTTCAGCCTCCCCAGCACTGCGATTAGTGTGCACCCGGGGGTGGGGCCAGTGGGGCATGTGGTGCCAGGAATTGAACCTCTGTCCCTGTGCTTGCCTCAGTAGGCACTTAGTCTGCTGAGCTATCTCGCCAGTCCTATTATTCCATTTTCTTTCTTTTTCTTTTTTTGGCGGAACTGGGGATTGAACTTGGCCCTTGGGCTTTTCAGGCAAGCACTTATTCTACTGAGCTATCTCCCCAGCCCCACCCATTTTATGATGTTCTCTTTGATCTCCTTTTTCAGAACACTAAAAGAGATATTATAGAGCTCTTTTATTTCTTTTGTTAGGTTAATTCCTACATATTTCTTTTTTTCTTGAAACTATTATGTGTGGGTTTTTTTAAAAAAAATATTTTTGAGACAGTGTCTTGATATGCAGTTCAAGCTAGTCTTGAGCCCACACTGGTCTCAAACTCACAATGATCCTCCTGCCTCAGCCTCCTGAGTGCTGGGATTACAGGTGTGTGACACCATGCCTGGCCTCTTCTATCTTTTTTTTTCCTTTTCAGTACCAGGCTTTGAACTTGGAACACTGTGCTTGCCAGGCAAGCACTTACACTATTTAGCTATATTTCTGTCCTCTCTGTCCTCAACATCACCTGTCCTCTTGACACTATTGTGAATGGTTCGCTTTCCTAATTTCTTTCTCTGTGAGTTCACTATTGGTGTACAGGAATGCTATTTATTTGGGGGTGTTGATTTGATATTACGCTACCTTGCTAAATTCGTTTGTTAGTGCCAGAAGTCTTTTTTAGCTCTATGGGTTGAATCTTATGGGTGTTTTATGTAAAGGATTATGTCATCTGTGATAAGGAGTTTTACTTCTTCCTGTCCTATTCATATCCTTTGTATTTTTTCTTTTGCCTGATTGCTCCAGCTGCAATTTTGAGTACTATATTGAACAGGAGGGTGGTTATGTCTGATACTCTTTTCTTTCTACTGATTTTAGAGGAAAAACTTTCAGGTTTACCCTCATTTCATATGATGTTTGCAGTAGGTTTATTGTAAATGACTTTTAATAGGATCCTTCTATATCTACTCTCTTCAGGGTTTTTTTTTTTAAATTATGAAAATATGTATTTTTGTCAAAGGGGCTCTTTTTGTGTCTAATGAAATGACCATATGGGTTTTGCCCTTGCTTCTATTTATGTCATATATGACATTATTGACTTACGTGTGTTGAGCCACATCTGCCTCCCTGGGATGCAGGCTGCTTGGTCCAGATGTGTGGCATCGTGTTTGCCAGTACCTTTCTGAGGAGCTTTGCATCTGTGTTCATTAATAAGTCTGACCTGTAGGCCTTTTTTGTTTTGTCTTTGTTTTTTAAATTTAGTTCTGGTCTGCTTTGGCCACCAAGGTAATGTTTGCTTATGCTAGCTTCCAGGATTGATTTCCATAGTATTCCTTTCTTTTACATTTCATTAAATAATTTGAGGAGCACAGGCATTTTATCTTCCCTGAAGTTCTTATAGAATACAGTGGTCAATACATTGGGTCCTGGGCTTTTTATAGTTGGAAGTTTGTTGGGTTTTTTTTATTAGCACCACAGTTTCATTGCCTGTTATTGGATTAATCAAGATTTGTATATCTTTGGTAATTTGTATGTATCTAAGAATCTATCAGTTTTTTATTCTTCTATTTATTGGGATAAAGGTTTTCAAAGTAGTTACTAATCATCTTCTAGATATTAGCAGTATCTGTTATGATTTCATCTCTTTCATTTCTGCTTGCATTGACTTAGGCCTTTTCTCCCCCCCCCCTTTTTTTTTCTTTGTAAGACTGGCTAAGGTTTGTCCCCTTTGTTTATTCTTTCTAAAGACCAGCTTTTTAATTCAATGATCCTTTGTATTTTTTTATTTTCAATTTCATTAATTTCTGCTCAGATCTTTAAAATTTATTTTCTTATACCAGGTTTGGTCTGGATTGTTCCTGTTTTTCTAGGAACTTGGGGTGCATCTTTAGGTTATTATTTGGGTGTGCTTTATTTTTGTGATGTGGGCATTCACAGTTATCAATTTCCTTCTTATGACCACTTCCTTTGTACCTCAGGTTCTGGTGTCTTGTACTGTTGTTACCATTTGGTTCTAAGAAATGTCTGATTTCTTCTGTGACTCATTGTTTATCCAAGAGTGTATTGTTTAATTTCCATGTATTTGCATAATTTCTATGTTTTTCTTTTGATGTTCATTTCTAGTTTCCATGAACTATCATCTAGGGTAATTTTCAATCATTTTTATTTACCTAAGCATGCTTTGTGGGCTAGTAAGTGGCTAGTTTTGGAGAAAGTTCCATGTCCTGCTAGGAGAATATGTAGTTTGCTTTTGTTGGGAAGAACACTCTATAGATATTTATTTATTCTTTTTTTTTTTTTTTTTTTTTTGTATTTTAGGGAAGGGTCTACAGAGTGTTCAGAGTCTCACTGCTAGATCAGACTCATAGTGACCCACCTGTCACAGCCTCTCAAGAGCTGGGATTACAGGCATGTGCCACCATGCTCAGTCTCAATCCCCATCTCAGCATACCCCAGGGATGGAGGCAGCATGGCAGGCCTAGGGATCAAACCCCCAGCCTCTGCACCTGCTTGCAGGCACTTTAATCCACTGAGCTATTTGGCTGGCCCTGTTTACTCCATTTATAAGAATGTGTGACTGGGGAGATAGCTCAGTGATCTAAGCACCTACGTGGCAAGCACAATGACCCAGGTTTGACCCTGGTACCTCATGCCATTCCGGACCATGCTGAGCCGCAAACCGAAACCAGGTGTGGTGGCCCATGCCTATAATCCCAGCACTGGGGAGCCTGAGACAGGAGGCTCACTACGAGTCCGAGCTGCCTAGGGAGATCCTGTACCAAATAAATAAATAAGTAAAAGATAAAAAAAAAAAAAAAGAATGTGTGACTCAATTCTGATTTTTTTTGAAATTTTATTTGTGTGTGTGTGTGTGTGTGTGTGTGTGTGGCCAACTCAGCCCACCAGGGGGCGGGGTGGGCTGGCATCTGGTGCTGGGGATTGAACTGCGGTCCCTGTGCTCTGCTAAGTTTGTTCTAAGTAGGTGCTTTAGACCACTGAGCCATCTCACCAGCCTCAATTCTGATTTTTTTGCAGAACTTTTTTGTTTAGTTGATCTATTTGTGACAGTGGGGTACTGAGTTTCTCACTCTACCTGTGTTGACATTTATCTGATCTTTAATGTCCAGTAGTGGTCTTTGTTATTTTTTTATTAGTCCGTGTCTGCAGTGCACCATGTTTGCATTCCTCGTGGGCAGCCAGCACGGGTACATAACACATCGTAATTCATTTTTCACACTTTCTTTCTGCTTCCTCCCTCACCCTCCACCTCTTGATCCCTTCCTATTTGAGATAAAGCTATCTCTCTATTTCCTTTTATCTTTTATTTTTCTTTTAACATACAACTTGGGTTTCCCAGTTAGGAGGATCATTATGATATTTAGGCCCGTGTGTCTGATTTATTTCACTCAACATTATGACCCCAAAGTGCATCCATTTGCCCACAAATGACTCAAATGTGTATTTTTTATGGCAGAGTAGTCCCCCACTGTATGTAAATGCATTTTCTCTATCCACTCATCTGTTGAGGAACATATAGGCTGCTTCTAAGATGTAACTATTATGGGTTGTGCTGCTACAAACACGGATACCTGTGTGTCGCTGTAATAGAATGCCCTTAACTTTTTTTTAGAAAATATCTAAGGGGAAAAGCTGGGTCAAATGGAATTCCATTTTTCGGGTTTTGTTTTTGTTTTGGGGGGACTGAGACAGGGTCTCACTGTATAGCGCAGGCTGGCCTTGAGCTTACTGTGTAGCCTAGGCTTGCCTCACTCGCACAATGATCCTCCTGCCTCAGCCTCCCAGGAGCTAGGATTATGGGCATATGACTGCCTCCACATCTGGCTCCTTTTAGTTTCTGGAGGAATCTCTATACTGAGTTCCGCAGTGACTGTACTATTTTACACTCCACCAACAATGTAGGAGGGTTCCTTTTTCTCTGCAGCTCTCCAGCATTTGTTACTATTTCTTGACGGGTTAAGATGGAAATTTTAGTGTGGTTATAATTTGCATTTCTCTAATGGCCAGTAATATTGAGCATTTCTTCAATTATTTATTGGCTACTTGTACTTCTGTGAAATGTCTGTTCATTTTTGTTGCTCATTTTTGAACTGGGCTTTTTATTTGGGGGGTCTAGTTTTTTTAGTTCTTTAAAATTTTTTTTAAAAATTTTTATTTTTTTATCTGATACAAAGGGTCTTGCTACACAGCTCGGACTCATTGTGATCCTCCTGTCTCAGTCTCACGCTCTGGAATTACAGGAGTGTGCCACCATACCCAGTTTCCATGGCCCACATGGCACACCCAGGGCTCTAGGGTTTCAGGGCTGGCATGGTATGAAGTACTGGGGCTCGAACCTGGATCTTTTTGCTTGCCAGGCAGGTGCTTAGACTGCCAACCTATCTCTCTAGCCTTTTGA